TCTTGGCTCTTGATTTCTACACTCTTGGAAAATAAACCCAGCCACATTTGGACACGTTAATTTGCAGAGAAGTTTTTGGACCTCAGGGGATGTCAGTTATAGCAAACAATCTTCCCAGTGGAACATCCTGCCTCACACCGCCCCCTTAAATTTAGGCCTATAGTATCAAAACACAAAAGGTAACCAAAGCTTGAAAAGATCCTTCTCTGTTTGCACACACAATTAGGTTTATATTTCCTTCAAATGTCTTTCTATTTTTGCCATCACCAACGTAACACAGATCCAAAGCAACTATAGAATTCCAAGATCTCTTATCTTGTCTCTCACCCTTCGGATTCATCCCACATCCAGCTAACCATTTTTCCTCAAACATGTTGTTTACCAGTCCCAAAGGTTTAAACTCCCCGGTGCCTCAAGGGTCAAGTTCAAAAGCTGCAACTTTTTTCCCCCTAAAGCCCTCCACACATCTAAATCTGACCAACTTTTCAAACCAGTGCTAATGCACTTGTTCGGTGAATACTTCTGCGGTTCCCCCATCTGCAGGTCACAAAATACACAAAGTTTATTAGGTCCGTGAGAATACTGGTAATCTTGAAATACACTTTGATAGGTCTGTATAATGGAATTTTTAAAAGATAATAATCACAGGGAAGTGGTTCTTAACTTGGACAATTTTGTCCCCCAGGAGACACCTGACAATGTCTGGTGACATACTTGGTTGCCACAACTGAGAAGAGTGGTGCTACTGGAATGTAGTGGGTAGAGACCAAGGATACTGCTAAACATCCTACACAGGACAGGCCCCCACAATCATCTGGCCCCAAATTGTCAGTAATCCAAGGCTGAGAACGTTGCATTGGCTTAGACTCAGAAAGAGGTGGACTTGAATCCTGGCCATGCTCTTTAGCAACTGTGTGACCTCAGGCAATTTCTCAAATGCTCAGGGCCCAAGTTTCCAATTCTGTAAAATAATACCTAGGCCGAGAGTGAGGGTTACAGGCACACAGGCAGAAGAAAATGGCTGATGCAAAATAATCTGCAGCTTTAATTACACTGTTGTATTTGGGGAGTGTACTGGATGTTCCTTTCTCTGCAGGGCCCATGAAGTGAAAATTAGAGTTGAATATGTGATGCAAGTAGCTTGAAACAAATACTGAGTACCCACCATAGATTAAGCACTATGTGGCCACTCCTAAATTCCTCCATTTAGTACCTGTCAATCCTCAACTTGACATGGGTCTATTACTTCCACTGGGAAACAGGGTTCAGAAGGTTGTACACAAGTTACAACTTGTCCTAAGTCAGTCTGCGGAAGAACTGTATTATTTCTAAGATTGTATAAGTAAAACCCCAAAACACTAAGTGAACATGTCCACCTCAGACCTGGTGGCATGTTTATACATGCAAACTCTATGGATTCACAAACCCTAAAAGCCCTCTCAAAGAATCCCTTCCTCTGTATTTTCTGTCAACATCCCTTCCCTTCTTACCGAGATCCCTGCACTGGTTTCTCTTTTGGTTTTCCTTATTCCCTTTAATCCTCCTCAAATAGAGCTTCCTAAGGTGTAACTTCCTAAGGTGTAACTCTACTTAAAATTCTGCTCAGAACAGTCTTAATGGCTCCCCTCTCGGCCTAACGTCTTGATTCCCAGGCACAGCACTCAAGAGCTACTATTCGCGCTTCGTTATAACCAGATCGCTCTTCCACGCTACAACGTGCCCAGCGTTTTCCTGCCCAGGTATTTACTCCCACTGCTTCCTCTCCCTAAATGCTCACTCTCCCTCATTTAAACTCTCACCCCAACCCTGATCAAATGCCATCCTCTACCAAATGTGTGCGGGGTCCTTTCCTTTTAGTAGCATCCCTTTCCGTAACTGGTCGTTCCGACCAGACACCGCCTGGCTATGTGCGTCCATTTCCCATTCTTACGACTGTTCTTTCCTTCCTTAAGGGTACATGTTCATTCTTATAACACCAGGGACAGCCGCTCATAAAGGCACTCAAAAATCAAATGCTTTTGCAAAAGGCCAACCTTTACGAGTGACAAAGAAAACGAAAGGGCTGTTGCGCGTACACTAGCTGAGGGTCAAGGAGCTAACCTGACGGACAGGTGGCCCCGAGTACTGCCCCTGCACCTCAGAGTGAAACCCCGGCAGGGTACGGCGCGACTGCTGGGCTGGAAGCGTCGGGCGGCCCGGCCCGAAGCTGCCCCACCCAGCGCCGAAGGGCGCCTGCGGCCCACCCGACCCCGCGTCCGGACAAAGGCCTGTACGCCAGCCTCTCCCGAGCTCAGAGAGCGGGGTGCGTGACTGGAGACCAGAGGGGCTCCCTCGGAGGTGGAGATTCTCGACCTTTCCCGGGAGCACATGGCAGAATCGCTCCGGAGCTTGCGCAGGCGCAGAGCCACTGACTCCGCCGCTTTCCCTCATCCCACCGCGAGTGTCCCGTCCCGTTACCTTGAGGGCTTCCAGTCCCATAAGACGAGACTTGCGGTCCTGATCCTTGATGATGAGGAAAGGGCGCCCATATTCATCGAAGGCGAGAGTCCCCACGGACGCCATCGCGGAGCAGCAGGAGTTACTTCCCTGCAACCGGCGGAGACCACTCCGGAACCGAGGACGCACCTTCCTCTCGCGGGACGGTTCAACAGCTCACGCATGCGCAGTACGCGGGAAGCGAGACTTATGTTTCATCTGAGACTAATTTCACGCCAGACAGTACCTTCTGGAACCAGCGGCCTTTGGAAACTTCTACCATTCAAGAAGCTGGGGGGGGAGTTTGAAAATAATGACGAGAAATTTTAGAACCAACAAGTCAAGAGCAGATTGAGTATAGTCATTTCTTAAAACTTTGCAATTGAGGGTTTCTGAATAGGGGGTCCTAACGAGGAACTCATTCACTTACAGCATTATTTTCTCCCTTTTTCCCACCCCGGCTCCGAGAAAATGGTAGAATCCACTTCCTTTTAGGAAAAAAAAAAAAAAAGGTTGGAAATCTCGCGATGGAAGGAGTAGGAGGTGAGGCCGGTCGACTGGCGGGTTGTTTCGGGCGTGGGGAGGGACGTGGGCGTGACGTGGGGCTCGCGGCCTGCCGAGGTCGCCACGGTGGACCCCGTGTCGTGTGCGGGCGCGAGTGGGAGCCCCGGCTGGCGGCCCCTCTGGCTCCAGCCTGGCGGTCGGTGCGGAGTGGCCAGGCCGGCCCTCCCTGCGCCCTGCAGTGCCCCTTCTTCGGCTCGTGGACCCGGGGTGCGTTTGCCACCTGCCTGGCGCTGTTCTGAGCGCTTTAGGGCAAATGACTCAGTCTTTTTCGCGGTCTTAACAGACATAGGGACACTGGAGTCACACTGCTCGGTTGGAATCGCAGCTCTGCAGCATTTACTAGCTGTCTTTGTGCCTTGGTGTTTCCTTGTCTGCAAAAATATCTGCAATAACGGTAGTGTCTGCCTTACAGGGGTGCCATAAGGATTCAGGGAGAACAGAGCCTGGCCCTTAGCAGACTCTGTTTAAGAGTTTGTTAAATAAATCCACATTTTGCTCAAGCGATCCAGTAACTTGCCCAAGGTTATACAAGAGTTATAAGAGACGAAGTTGCACAGCTTAGTGCTATGAGTCCCACTCAATTTCTGTTGTGCTGCCTCAGAAAGCTCTTGGCAACTATAACTAGAGAGTAACCTGTCTTCTAGTTCTTTATGCTGTTCTTTCTTCAGAGATCACGACCTAATATTTTATAGGCTTAGTCTTAGTTGTGGATTTCCAGCCTCCCGTCACCCCTACTGCCATAGAACAGCGACTTATCCCAGTTGTGTTATTCACAGCATTTATTAGGTAATAAATGTTGAAATAAATGCATGCATTATAACATTTAACCCCCTCTTCAAAATCAAGAACTGACTTTGTCGTTTGATGTTTGGTGATCAATTAACCTTTCCTAATGCTTGGCCCACTTACTCTCTAGGCTTAGAGGGACTCAAAGGACATAGAAAATTTTAGGGTCAGGTCTCATTTCACTTAAACTTTACTGATTCAGTATTTCCTTGTTCAAAATGGTGAATTCTGCAATCCATTTGGCTCATTAAATTGTGAAAAATAGAAAACGTCCAGTGGCATCCTCTATGTAGTTTATGTCATGTCAAAGCTCTGGGGTGGGGGAGATTTTTCCTAATATCAATAGTAAATATGTATCAAAAGGACACAAATGACATTAGGCTAGTACAAGAAAGGATTCTTAAGGGACAAAATACATGTTAAGGGATATAACATACATGTAATTATTAAACTAGTATGCATATTGCAAGTACACAATGAACAGCTTTTAAGTATTGGGACTTTCAGATATAAATCCTACTTTAAACACGTGGCTGGTCACAATTCCAGACAGGACTTACTCTCCCTGACCTTTGTTCTTTAGTTTGAACTTGGATAAGAAACCTATGTACTTTTTTGTACATCTTAGGCACTGTCTCTGGCTCCAGCTGATCCAAATATATCACGAAAATCATTGAAGTGTTTAACCCATTATCAGAAGTTAATAACCAGGCACAGTCTGGAGACAGAATAGAAGCTGAGCTTACCCTTTCCTTTACTTTGGAGGGTGGATTACTAAGTGCTAATGAAAATGGCCAGTGGCCACCGAAGCTCCTATTTAATAGAACAGCTGGTTGTCCCAAAGAGCACACCTGACAGAAATCTCTTGCCATTTATTTGTATTAAATAGTCTATGAATCTAAACATGTTCCATTAAAAGGATTGGTAGAAATAGTCTTGATTTTAGTTTTGAATGTTTAGGGACTATTTTTTACTGATAAAAATGGATACTTTTTTGGGGGGGGCAGAGCTAACAATGTAGTCATATATTGGATTTGCATAATAATTTCTTCTAAAGCTCAGGCAATGGGTATGGATCTTGTCTTCCCAATATAAATGTTTGTGAAGTTGAAAGACTTGCAGACATAAAACAAGACAGAACACTGCTGGTGTTGCTTTCTTAAAAATACAAATATTATAGTGGACATAGAATAAAATACACACTGAGCTTGGTATTCTAAGACCTACCTTTATGTTTATCTCTTACTCCTGCCTTAAAAAAGGCTTTCCCCACCTTCCATGCTTCAAGTGCAAGGATTGCTGCTTTTGCCTCCATCTCAAATTCTGACTCTCTGCTAGCACCTTACCAGTCCCATCATTGGGATCAGTCATCCCTCAACCTCCCCCTTATTTCCACAGGCTTTTGTTCATGTTACAGAGTTTTTCACAACCTGGCCTGTGTCTACCTCAACTGGACCCCACCACACAGGCTTGGTGGTTGAATTGAAGGATACATGTCTACATTGGTGAAATAGAATTCGGATCATCTGACTCATGTTTATTTAATAAACCCAGTGAACGAATGGGTAACAAAATGTGGTATAACCATGCAATGGACTATTATTCAGCCACGAAAAGAATTAAAGTACTGATACTAGGTACGACAAGGATAAATCTTTTTTGTTTTTGTTTTTGTTTTGAGACAGAGTCTCACTTTGTTGCCCAGGCTAGACTGAGTGCTGTGGCGTCAGCCTAGCTCATAGCAACCTTAAACTCCTGGGCTCAAGTGATCCTTCTGCCTCAGCCTCCCAAGTAGCCGGGGCTACAGGCATGTGCCACCATGCTCGGCTAATTTTTTCTATATATTAGTTGGCCAATTAATTTCTTTCTATTTATAGTAGAGACGGAGTCTTGCTCTTGCTCAGCTGGTTTCTGAACTCTTGACCTTGAACAATCCGCCCGCCTCGGCCTCCCAGAGTGCTAGGATTACAGGCATGAGCCACCGCACCCAGCCAACAACAAGGACGAATCTTAAAGACACTGTGCAAAGTGAAAGAAGTCAGTCACAGAATACCCCATACTATATGATTTCACTGCTATAAGTCCAGAATAGGATTCTAGAATATATTCTAGAATAGTCCAGAGTAGGGGGCTCTATAGAGACAAAAAGTAGATTAGTGATTGAGCAGTGGAGGGTGGATGGGGGGAAGATAGCTGAAGGATAAGGGGTTTCCTCTTGAGGGGAAAATCTGTGAACATAACAAAACTCATTGAATTGTACATGTTAAATGGGCAGATTATGTGCATATGAATTATATCTCTATAAAGCTGTTAAAAATTGAGCCCTTCCCCTAAAATGATGGTATTGAGAATGATGATAGCAATGAACAGTCAGTCTCTCAGGCCTGTGCCAAGTGCTTTGTATACTTTATTTTTTCTGTGAACTTGCATAGAGAAGTTTACATACATTATTTAACTGTTCTAATAACCCTATGAGGATAGTATTATTGCTACATCTTTTTTTTTTTTTTAATTTTGAGGTGTAGTAAAAAAAAAAAGAACCCACCATAATGATTTCTAAATCTTACTGGTGAGAAAACCATGCCTTAGTAGCAGCTTACCTCACGTTAAACAACTAGTTAAGTTCCGAAACTGCAGAACTGTGTGACTCAAATCCTCGTAAACACTGTGCTGTACAAATGGGATGCCCACAGGATAATTTTATACAAGACATGACAAATGCACCTTGACTTTTCTTAAATAAACAAATGCCAGCCTGCTACTGTAGCATATGTGGGCATACCTTGTTTTGTTGCACTTTGCTTTTATTGCACTTCACAGATAGTGCATTTTCTATTAGCACCGTTTTTCCAACAGCGTGTGCTCACTTTATGTCTCTGTGTGACATTTTGGTAATTCTTGCAATATTTTAAACTTTATTATTATTATTATATCTGTTAGGATGATCAGTGATCTTTGATGTTACTTTTGGCATTGTTTTGGGGCACCACAAACCATGCCCATTTAAGGCGATGAACTTGATAAACGTGTGTGTTCAGACTGCTGCACTGAACAGTTCTTCCCCTCTTTCTCTCCTCTCCTTGGGCCTCCCTATTGCCTGAGACACAACAATACCGAAACTAGGCCAATTAATAACCCTACAGTGGCCTTGAAGTGTTCGAGTGAAAGAATCACATGTCTCTCACTTTAAATCAAAAGCTGGAAATGATTAAGCTTAGTGAGGAAGGCATGTCAAAAGCTGGGATAGGCTGAAAGCTTGCACCAGTTAGCCAAGGTGTGAATGCATAGGAAAAGTTCTTGAAGGAAATTAAAAGTGCTGCTCCAGTGAACACATGAATGATAGGAAAGCAAAACAGCTTATGGAGAAAGTTTTAGTGGTCTGGATATAATATCAGATCACTCACTGTATGCCCTTAAGCCAAAGCCTAATCCAGAGTGAGGCCCTAACACTCTTTAATTCTATGTAGTCTGAGAGAAGTGAGGAAGCTGCAGAAGGAAAGTTGGAAGCTAGCAGAGGTTGGTTCATGAGGTTTAAGGAAAGATGCCATCTCTGTCACATAAAAATACAAGGTGAAGTGCAAGTGCTGATGGAGAAGCTGCAGCAAGTTATCCAGAAGATCTAGCTAAGATAATTGATGAAGGCGGCTACACTAAATAGCAGATCTTTGGTGTAGATGAAACAGCCTTCTATTGGAAGAAGATGCCATCTAGGACTTTCATAGCTAGAGAGGCAAAGTCAATGTCTGGCTTCTTACTCTCTTGTTAGGGGCTAGTGGAGCTGATGTTGAAGCCAGTGCTCACTTACCATCCTGAAAATCCTAGGACCCTTAAGAATTATGCTAAATCTACTCTGCCTGTCCTCTATAAGTGGAACAACAAAGCCTGGATGAGAGCATATCTGTTTATAGCATGGTTTACTGTTTAAGTCCACTGTTGGGACCTACTACTCAGAAAAAAAGATTTCTTTCAAAATATTCCTGCTCATAGACAATGCACATAGTCACCCAAGAGCTCTGCTACAGATGTACAAGGAGATCAATGCTGTTTTCATGCCTGCTAACATAACATTCATTCTGTGGCCCCTGGTAAAGGAGTGATTTCAATTTTTAAGTCTTTCTAAGACAAAATATCATAAGGCTATGGCTGCCATAGATAGTGATTCCACTGATGGATCTGGGCAAAGTAAATTGGAAACCTTCTGGAAAGGATTCACTATTCGAGATGCCATCAAGAACACTTGTACCCTCTTAAATTTAGATGCTAAAAAAAAAAAGAACACTTGTGATTCATGGGAGGAGATCAAAATATCAACATTAAGAGGAGTTGGGAAGAAGTTGGTGGACGGCTTTGAGGGATTCAAGACTTCAGTAGAGGAAGTCACTGCGGATATGGTGGGAATAGCAAGAGAATTAGAAGTGGCACCTGAAGACGTGACTGAATTGCAACAATCTCATGATAAAACTTGAGTGGGTGAGGACTTGCTTCTTATGGATGAGCTAAGTGGTTTCTTGAGATCTATACCTGGTGAAGGTGCTGTGAACACTGTTGCAATGACAACAAAAGATTTAGACTATTACATGAACTTAGTTGATGAAGCAGTGATGGGTGGAGAGGATCGATTCCAATTTTGAAAGAAGCTCTACTGTGGGTAAAATGCTGTGAAACAGCACTGCATGCTACAGAGAAATCTTTCACGAAAGGAGGAATCAATTGATGCAGCAAACTTCATTGTCCTATTTTAAGAAATTGCCATAGTCACCCCAACCTTCAGTAGCCACCACCCTGATCATTCAGCAGCCATCAGCATTGAGGCAAGACCCTGCAACAGCGAAAAGATTAGGACTCACTAAAGGCTCAGATGATTAGATGATTGTTAGAATTTTTTAGCAATGAGATATTTTTAAATTCAGGTATGTACATTGTTTTATAGACAATGCTATTGCATACTTAATAGACCAAAGTGTAGTGTAAACATAACTTTTACATGTACTGGGAAACCAAAAAATGTGTGTGACTTGCTTTATTGTGATATTCACTTTATTGCAGTGGTTTGGAACTGAACTTGCAATATGTCCAAGATAAGTTCCTCCATACAATGCCAAAATTATAACTGAAATTATTTAAAGCTTTTGCTTTCTGTCAAATACTATCACCTTCTAATTTTATTTTACCTTGACCGCTAGCACCAGTAGCAGACTTTCCCCCCCTGAGTTGGTTTTCCCCTATGAAACCAGTTTTACAGCTCACTCAAAGGGGCCTCAGGAATCAAGAACAAAGCCGTGCAGAAAGGAGGGTGCTGGTGGTTGGCCAGCTGCCCTGGAGTGTGAGCCACAGCGGTGTGCCGGCCTTTGGTGTTCACGGGGGTGGCTGGCAGAATGATGGCCCCTCTCGAAGAGGTCCACACTCGAATCCCTGTAACCTGTGCAGATGTGGTTAAGGGTCTTGAGATGGGGGATTGTTTTGGATTATCCGAGTGGGCCCAATGTCATCACCAGGGTCCTTGTAAAGAAACAAGGAGGCAGGAGTGTGAGGTGAGGCAGTGTCCTGCCAGAGCAGAGGTTGAGTGATGTGCGGTCAAGAACCAAGGAAGCCGGAAGAGACAGGGACACCGATCCTGCCCTAGAGCCTCCAGGAGGACACAGCCCTCCAGCCCATTTCAGACTGACCTCTAGAACCATATGATAATAGATGTTTTGTCTTAAGCCACTAAGTTGGTGAAAGTTTTGTACGGCAGTTATAGGAAACCTTTAACTGTGTGCAGCCCTGTGCTTTACCTGCATCCCCTTCATTTCACCTTCACAACAACCCCGTGAGCCCCACTTTATAGATGAGGAAACTGAGGTGAGCAAGGAGGAGGGATTCTGGGTCACACAGTTAAAGTGGCAGAGCTGGGATCCTAATCTCTCCCAGCTCTGGAGGAGTCCTGCTCTTACCTCCCGTTGTGGCATTGTTAATCAATTTCAAATCAATTTCAGAAACTTAAAAATGTTGTAAAGGATAAAGCTCAAGAGGAGGATATTTAAGGTACCACTCATTTCTGTGTCATCAGTGATTGGAATCTGTTTGCTTTCTTCTGTGCTTGTGATAGTATTGAAATGATTGTTTTATTTTTTGTTCTTTTTGGGTCTGCTTTAAAAATCTCTTTATTATCACACTTGTTTAAGATGTTTGGCAAAACCTGATTTTCGTCTCCTCTATTACTTTAATATTGTATTTGCGCACTGGGATTACAGATGCCAGACCAATTTTAATGTGGAATCCTTTTATCCTATTCGAAATAGGAAAATAATTACATATTTTTATGCTTGTTTGTCAGGCGTTGTTTGTTCAGAACATAAAAATGAGGAGTTCATGGTTTAAACTTGTACTAATGGAAATTGAATTATTACATTACCAGATAAGTTTGAAAGCATTGTTTTCTAAGGATGGCTCTTAGACACACAAAATCAGAATGTTGTAAAGAAAAGATTTCAGTCTTCTAATAGTATGGAATAATTTTCCCCAAAACACTGTAATTTTGTTAATGGAATTTAGAACTCATCGTGGGATCCTATACTTATCATTTAGAGTATATTCAGCTAAATTGTCTCTCTTTAAAAAGTGTGAGTTTATTTGTCCATAAGAATTATATATAAAAGAAATACTATCCTGGATTTCAGATTTGGTGCTACCTCTGTATTTTCTGCTTGCTCTCCCTCTAGGCACATCCCCAGAAATGCTTAAAGAGGAAAGCCAGCCAAGTCATGTTTTACCCACAAGTTTTGAAGCCAACAGTTTGAAGAAAAGCAATTGGGGATTCTTAATTACTGGGATTGTTGGTGGGACTCTAGTGGCTGTGTATGCAGTAGCCACGCCATTTGTAACACCAGCCCTACGAAAAGTGTGTTTGCCTTTTGTACCTGCAACCACAAAGCAGATTGAGAATGTTGTGAAGATGTTGCGATGTAGAAGAGGATCCCTGGTAGACATTGGCAGCGGCGATGGACGTATTGTGAGTTTTGCTAAAACATTTTAAGGTTTGGAGCCAGAATTGTTAAAAATTTCTGCTTTCTATTTCTTACAGGGTATGCAAAGCCTTGCTAAATCTCATGCTTTGAAAAAGTGGTCATGTCATTTTGTGTTTCTTTGGACAAATGATTAAATCATAAGTATGTGGTTTAATCATTTCATTTCAAAATCATTTCAAAATCAATTCATTTTTCTCAAATTTAATTTTTTTTTTTAAAGGAGAAACTACTCTGTAGGCATGACTGTAGAAAAGAACCATTACTTAGTAATTATCAAATTGTCTCTCTGGCAGTAAGGGAATGAATAATAGTAGTACCTGGCTGGTTGTGGTGGCTCACACCTGTAATCCCGGCATTTTGGGAGGCTGAGGTGGGAGGATTGCTTGAGGCTAGGAGTTCAAGACCATCCTGGGCCACACAGCAAGACCCTGCCTCTACAAAAAATAAAATTTAGCCAGGCCTGTGGCATGCGCCTATAGTCCTAGGTACTTGGGAGGCTGAGGCAGGAGGATTGCTTGAGCCCAGGAGTCTGAGATTGTATTGAACTATGATCACACCACTGCACTCTAGCCTGGGTGACAGAGCAAGACCTTGCCTCTAAAAAAATAATATTAATAATAAAAAAACCCAAAAAACTTAAAAACAGATTGTCTGTTAAAATACTTGTGCTGACGGAGGCGGCATACTGAGAAAAAACATGTTAAATAATGGAATTTCACTATTTTACGTTTTCGCCATAGTTGTTTGCGTTTACATTTGTCTATAAGTGTATAAATAATAATTCCTGTGGGGTAATATAGAGTTGAAATAAGGAAGAGCCGGTGATTAACCCCCACTAAGCCGAAGATCAGACTTTTAGCTACTTCATCTCACTTTGCCCCCAACCGGGAACGTATGAATCAAGACACAGGCCACTGACTGGCAAGTGGGTGTCCCAGAGCACGTTCCTCCGAGGGCAGGGCGGCGCCATGCTTAGCCTCACCCTGATGATGAGCTGAAAAGTGAGGACGGCGGCAGGAAAGGCTGGTGTTCTGGAAGCATTTAGTGTGGAGACCAGCAGGGCCTCGCCACCTTCCACCAGCCCCTTCCCACACACAGCCTGGGATTTTGTGATTCTGACCTGGAATAAGCAGGAAGAGGTTAAAAAGTAACTCACGTTTTTTTATTTTTTTTATTTATACTTCTTTTTACTTTAAAAGTTGCGTTAAAATACTCATACCATGATGTTTACCATCTTAACCATTTTTAGGTGTACAGTTCGATGGTATTGAGTGTGTTCACATTGTGCCAGCGTCACCACCACTCGTCTCCAGAACTCCTTTCCTCTAGCAAAACTGAAACCCAGTACCCGTTAAACAACACCTCCCATTCCCCTCCTCCTCCAGTCTCTGGCAACCACTCGTGTTTGATTTTAAGAAATTGGGAGACATATGTGTTAATTAGGAGGAAGTTTTAAAATCCATATTTGATGCTGTGGTTTCTATGAGAATGGTTTCCTTGCAGTACTGTAGTAACTTGAGAGATTACCTTAGGTGGGACAGCTCTGCCAAGGGAAGCTCCTGTGAAGAATGGGGCCAGAGACTGGTAGAGGGACCCCCGGACTGCCTCACCATCCCTCCCACTGGACAGAGGCCGGTGGGACTCCACAGTTAACTTTATTCTGATGCATTGCATTTTACTTTTGCCTGTTTTCAATTTTGACTGAATAGTCATTAAACATTAAGGAAATATGTAAATAATTGCAGATTTTAATCGACAGATTTTTTTTTTTTTTGAGACAGAGTCTCACTTTGTTGCCCAGGCTAGAGTGAGTGCCATGGCGTCAGCCTAGCTCACAGCAACCTCAAACTCCTGGGCTCAAGCGATCCTACTGCCTCAGCCTCCCGAGTAGCTGGGACTACAGGCATGCGCCACCATGCCCGGCTAATTTTAGATATATTAGTTGGCCAATTAATTTCTTTCTATTTATAGTAGAGACAGGGTCTCGCTCTAGCTCATGCTGGTTTCGAACTCCTGACCTCGAGCAGAGCAATCCGCCCGCCTCGGCCTCCCAGAGTGCTAGGATTACAGGCGTGAGCCACCACGCCCAGCCTGACATTATTTTTTATTGCATATTATTTTATTGTATATTATTGTCCACAAAACCATTCTTCTGAGCATATTCATTCACCTGCTGCTGTGCTAGCCCACTGATTGAGAGATGCAGCAGATTTTCAGCAATTTTTTGTTAGACCTATCCAGGGGTTGCCTAATCCAGAATTAACTATGTAGTTGTCGAAAGCAGACCTAAATATCCATTCTGATACTGGGCGTGAAATCTTTAACAAAAACAAGAAAACTGAGTTTAAATGGCTTGGCCATTACCTTGTAGACAAAGCTAGGTAACTTTAGAGACACATTAAAAAAATTTTTTTTCTTATTTCAAAATATCAACAAATGTTTTTGTTACAAAAACAAAAACTACTGTGTTTGAAAGTAGTTTCATATACAGGCTACTTGTATAACACTTAAGTCAGAGCTTTTAGTGTGCCTATCACCTCTCATTGTACCTGATAGGTAAGTTTTTACCTTCATCCTCTCCCACTGTCCTTCCTTCTTGATTTCCAATGACCTTAAAATCTCTTTGTGCCTGTGTATGCCCATTGTGTATCTCCCAATCATTCGACAGTACATGTGGTATTTGTTTTTCCTTTGCTGAGATACTTTGCTTAGGATAATGATCTCCAATTCCACCCAAGTTGCCGCAAAAGGCATTATTTCATTCCCTTTTATGGCTAAGTAGTACTCCATGCTATACATATACCACATCTTCTTAATCTACTCATGAGTAGATATGCACTTAGGTTGATCCCACGACTTTGCAATTGTGAATTGTGCTGTAATAAACATTCAAGTGTAGGTGTCTTTTTGATAAAATGACTTCTTTTCCTTTGGGTAGATACCCAGTTGTGGGATTACAGGGTCAAATGATACATCAACATTTATTTCTCTGCGGAATTTCCATACCGTTTTCCATTGAGGTTGTACTAATTTGCAGTCCCATGAACAGTGTATAAGCGTTCCTTTCTCTTTGTATCCACACCAGCATGTATTGTTTTTTGACTTTTTAATAATGGCCATTCTGACACGGGTAAGGGTATCTCATTGTGGTTTTAATTTGCATTAAATTATAATGATAATCACTGATAATTAGTGATATTGAGCATTTTTTCATTTTTTTTTTTTGCCCTTTGTCTATCTTCTTTTGAAAAACTTCTATTCATGTCATTTGCCCTCTTTTTAATGGTATTTTTTTTTTCTTGTTAAATTGTAGGAGTTCTTTGTAGATTCTGGATATTAGCCCTTTGTCAGATGTATAGTTTGTGAATATTTTCTCCCGTTTTTTTAGGTTGTTTATTTAGAATCTTCCCATCCGTAGTCAGACGCGTTATCCATTGCGCCACTGGCCCACACCCTAGGTTGTTTATTTATTCTGTTGATTATTTCGTTTGCTGTGCAGAGACTTTTTAATTTAATGAAGTCCCATTTATTTATTTTTGTTGTGGCTGTATTTGCTTTTGGTGTCTTAGTCATAAATTATTTGTCTAGGCCACTATCAAAAATAATTTTTCCTATGTAAATTGATTTTTTGTCAGCTCATGAAGCACCCACTTAATTGAGCTTTTTTCACCTTTCCAATTTGCTTCAAATGCCAAACAACTGTAGAACGGTCAATGTCGAATTCTTCAGCAACTTCTCGTGTAGTTGTAAGAGCTTCGATGATTGCTCTCAGTTGGTCAGCTTCCAAGGAGGTACTTTTTGATTGAATGTTTTAGGATTATAAACTATTAATAGGAGATATTCATATCATTTGACCATGTAAATTGATTTTTTTTCCCTATTTTGAATAAATCCTGGCCTCTCTCCATAGGTAATAGCAGCTGCAAAGGAAGGATTCACAGCTGTTGGTTATGAATTAAATCCATGGCTAGTTTGGTACTCCAGATACCGTGCTTGGCGAGAAGGTGTGCATGGCTCTGCCAAGTTTTATATTTCGGATTTGTGGAAGGTATGTAGAGCAAAGAATGGTGCTAGAGAAATCCAATGGAAAATGTTATTGTTCATAATTAGTATGACAGAAAACTGAAAAATGTATTGAAAAATAATTACAATTCAAGTGAATATTTTGGCATAATGAAATGTGTACACATTTTAAATTGACAGATTTTACAGATAGACTACTTTAGAAGCTTAAGGTTTTCTATACGATACATCATGTGGATTCCGAGACTTTATTTAGTATATTACAGTGTACTCATTTCTCTTTATTACAAAATAGTGAGATTTTCCATCTCATTTGGAAATCTTGTAAATTATTCTTGCTAAATATTAGACCTTTCCATGTTTCTCTGTATGTGTGTGTGCGTGTTTGTGTATTTAGAGACACAGAGGTGGGTGATAGAGAAAAGAATCCACCAATTGTGTTGTCGTGTTATTTCTTGTCCTCATAAAGCACAAAATACTTCCAAACTTACTTGTACTCTAAAAAATGCCCTGTAATTTTGCTTTAGGAGTGACCCATAAAATGCTTTTTCTTAAATAAGAATTTTCCATTGTAATGTTGTCATCAGTTGCTTATAAAAATTCACTTGTGTTTTGCTTGCGTTGTTTTTCACACCATATATACATAAATGCTCTCACTATAGAGTAAATAAGACTTTTATTGGGCAATAAGAATTTTGACTGGCAAAGCACTTTTCCCCCCAGTTTTTCAACTAAAGACCATTTTATTGCATTCTTACACAGTATTTCAGAGAAGAGCTAGGGGACTAGAATTTTAAGCATGGTTCAACATAAGAAAACAGCTGGCTCTGAAATCCTGTGAGTTCTTGTGAGGCTGGTTTGGTATAGAGTGGAGCAGAGTGGGAACGCCAGGAGCTGCCAGCTGGAGCTCCAGTTGGTCACCGAGGCATCACTGGCCTTTCTGACACTTGACTTTGCCAAACCCACCATTTGGCAAAATGGAAAATTGCTGACATTTCTATGAAACAAGTTAAAGTTTCCTGTTTGGCTTTTTACAATTAATCTACCGATTGTCTCCTCATCTCATTTAGGTTACTTTTTCGCAGTACTCGAACGTCGTTATTTTTGGCGTGCCCCAGATGGTGAGTACGCGCTTTTCCTGTTCTCCGCGTGTGTGGGGTGAGGTGGTGTCAAAGGCCTTTCCAGCTCCAACTCGCCGCCCCTCACCCATGTGCAAAGTGATGGCCTCCCGGAGATTTTAGGGAGCACCGGATTTCAGTTCACTGGTTTATTAAGATATTTCAGAGCCTTAAAAGTTTAATCATAAAAGACTCAGTCATGTTTTTAAACTTTGGCTTCAGATAAAATTCCCAATGATCTACTGAAGCCTTAAAAATTCCGGTTTGGAAACTGCTTTCTGAGGTCCCAGTGTCTAACGTACTTTGCGGTTTCAGAGCCGCTCACTCACCTCCAGCTGAAGTCGCTTGGGAAGGTTAATGGGATGTTCCCTTGGAATTGATCCTGCCTCCGATTGTGCAGGAAGATAATTTTCAGGGTGGATGAGCATTGACTAGTTTCAATTTACCTCAGTTTACTGATTTTCCCAGGAACGGAGTATTGAACCTTGATTATGTACTTTCAACGGTGAAAATGCCACAGCGTTGTGCTGAAAATGGGCCTCTGTAGCCTGTGGTAAGATGGCCATGGTGCGATGCTTTCGCTGTAATTGCTGGTTTACAGACCGTAGAAAGAAATCCCTTTTCACTTTTCAGAGTCTATAATTATAACCATAATAATCTTGGCAGAATTGGATGGATGTGGGCTCAAATGCCACTATATAACTGATACAGTTTTTAATTTAAAAAAAGAAATTTTACTTTTTTGTCTTCTTATTTATGCCTTAATTTTTATACAGGATGTTTCAATGCTTGAGAAACTAGTAAGGCCTTCGGTGTAATGCCATATTCTTTAACTTTTATAGACAATTTGGAAACACTTTTGTTGAATATTCTTGAAAGTAACAGTATTCTGTGTTTGTAATTCTCATTAGGCCTAAAATTAAGACCAAACTCAGGTGTCTACACTTTTGTTAGAGAAGTGAGGTGAGGTAGAAGGGCACAGTGCACAGTCTTTGGTCATTTAGAAAAACCCACTTGGGATCATGGAATTGATGTGGAGTTTTGATGGTAATTTCCTGCTTATGATGATGCTTGAGCTTTCCTTCTAAAATGGAAGTTAGCTTTTTGGAGACAAGTAACTTTAACTTGAATCCATGCTTTATAGAATTAGGAAGTTAGTATTTACTGGGAATTCCATGCCGTCTGGAGAGGCAGGATGAGGAAGCGAGCCGTGGATTATGAGACCGTGGCTGCCTGGTCCCAGCGGGGGGCAGCAGTGGCCTTTGGTAGTCCTCAGTCATCTCCACATAACATCGACTCCTGGTGCTTCTCGTCACGTTTGAAGCAGAGTCAGTTTTTGGAGCTATTTGCTCAGGGGAAATAAGAGTCTTATTATTTTGACGAATGCTTTTGCAATTATTGCCCATTCTTCTGTACATAGAGAAATCTTAAATAAGGAACTTGTAGCACTTCACCATTCCCAAGGACGAAGGGGAGCAGCTGAAGTACACGAAGCGTCCACATTTTCTGTGTTACGGAGATTCAGCCAGCTTGCAGTTTTCCACGCTGGCAGAGCGATCAGGGGTGCAGAGGGCCACATGGTCTGGGAGGGAATTTCGTGTGTGGAGGACCCCGACTTTCAGCCTCCATCAAGCTTTGCCTAAGTGGAGGCAGTGAGCAGAGGGAGAGGGTGCTATAGCAATGACTGTGCCAGCCTTGGGAGGTGGCTCGACAAAGCCACTGTGCCATGAAACGTGTCCCGTGGCAGCTAATGCACAGGTGGACACTTAGAGAGCCAGGAGGAACCTTGGAGAAGTTCAGAGGTACAATCCCTGAGGTCGTAAATCCTCACTCCTGCTTCTAATACCAGATTGATCATCCCTAATAGCTCTGTGCAGTTGTGGCTCAAAATCAGTGGTGTCCTAGCAGTTCAACACAAGCACACATCTGATGTAAAAGATTGAAGAATCCCATTCGGATCTGGCAAATACAGCACTAGGATTGTAAAGATCCACGTTTAACACCAGCTTATGCACCAAGAGCATCTTTTCAAAATGCAGGACAGATCAATCGTGTCCTTATTTATACCGTTCTATGACTTGTTGCCACTTTTAAAGGGTAAGTCCCAATCCCTCAGTGTGACCCCGAGGCTGGCGTGGAGTGGTCCCCACTCACCTGCAGCCTCACCTGGGCCACGCCTCCCAGCTCTCTGTGCCAGCCCTCTGTCCTTCTCTCCACCCCTGGAATATGCCGGGCTTCTCTTCCCAGAGCCTGGGGCTGTGTCCGACCCCCTCACTTCAGTCCTCCTGCTCCGGGCCTAGTGAGTGGACGCCTACCAACCACTCACGCTCAGCGGTCTTCTCCTCCGCAGAGTGTCCTTGATGGCCCAAGGGGGCAAGCGCCAGTGTCCCCTGTTTTTCACTCCCATGGCACACTTTGCCCTTCCTTGGATGAGTTATTGTACGTTTCTCGCCTGGTGGCTTTGGCAGTGTTTGCCACACGCACTGCACGGAAAGCGCGAGGTCGGGGACCAGGCCTGTCGTCTTCGCTGCGAGACCTCCTGCAGGGGGCACCGGCACAGAGTGACCACCCGGTAAACAGTTGTGGAGTGAATGCGTGGGGCACAAACACACCCATTACTTACACTTTTCCCAAAGGCCATTAACTTTTTAAAATAATTTCAAAATATTATGGGGGGTACAAAGGTTTTTGTTACGTGGGTACCTTGTATAGTGCTTAAGTCGGGGGGCTTTTAGTGTGCCCATCGCCCACGTAGTGTCCACTGTCCCTTACGGGTGGAGTTTTACCCCTCCCCACTTCTTGATTTCCTGTGACTGTTAACGTCTCTTTGTGCCCATGTGTGAGAATGACTATTTTTACTTTTGAATTCTATTACGAATTGAAGAATGAAAATATCATCCTTATGTTCTGATAAAGAAAAATGATTCATGACTGAATCTTCCTTCCTTCCTTCCTTCCTTCCTTCCTTCCTTCCTTCCTTCCTTCCTTCCTTCCTTCCTTCCTTCCTTCCTTCCTTCCTTCCTTCCTTCCTTCCTTCCTTCCTTCCTTCCTTCCTTCCTTCCCTCTTTCCCTCAGTTCTTCCCTCTGTCCTTCCCTCCCTCCCATGGCCACTATGGCCAGGCCCTGCTCCAAGCACTTGGAATACTTCAGTGAATAAAGCAGAGTACGTCCCCACCCTGAGGTGCCCCTATGCTGGTGGGGGGAGCATACATTAAATGCGACACCTGTAGACAAGATAGTGGCCAACATGGGGGAAGGGCTATGGAGCAAATGGAAGCAAGGGAGTGACGGGCAGGGACGGTGTCCCGCACAGGCGATGTTTGGGGGGAGGGAAGGTGTGCTCGCTGGGATGAGAGCGGCAAGCAGGGGTGTGGCGTGAGTGAGGGGAGGTCAGAGGAGACAGGGCTGGGGCGGGAAGGACGCTGGCCCTCTGATGGCCGGGAGCCTGGGGTGAGCAGAGAGGATTGCGGGACCCACTGGGGTTGAGGAGGAGCGCGGGCTGGGCTGCCTTGCGGAGACAAGACGAAAGGCAAACCGGGCTGAAGCTGGGAGACGGGCTGTGAGCTCTTGCAGGTGGCCGGGCAACGCAGTGGCTGCTGAGAAGGATCAAATTCCAGATGCATGGTGGAGATAGAATGAGCAGGATCAGAGGGCAGATCCAGCGTGGGGAAGAGAGACAAAGAGGGATCACGGGAGAGACCCCAGGCGTTTCGCCTGAGCTACTGAAGTTTGGCATTGCTGCGAACTGCGCTGGGGAAGGTGCAGGCAGGGCCGGGCAGGGAAGTTCAGTGTGAGCACGGGGACTCTGGGTGTGCGTGGGCGTGTTAAGCTGGTGGTCTTGGGTAAGGAGGAATCTGGGGTCAGGAGGAGAGGGGAGTGACTGGAGATGTAGGTTTGTCAGGCATCGGCCCACAGCTGCCTGTGGGCCCCTGTGGGGAGCACAGGAGTGGAGCAGTCCAATGCCTGGGCCCTGGGCTCTGACATTTGGGGTCTGGGAAAGGAGTGGCAACCAGCAGGGACACCGAGAGAAGAGCCTGGGAAGGGGGGAGTGCTGGGGTGAGTCACCCAAGTAGCCAAGTGAAGCAAGTGTTCAGGGGGTCTCGGGTGAGGCTGCTGGGGGCACGGCTGAGTCCTCTTATGCCTTTGAGCTGGTTTCTACCCACATTTAAAGTTTTGAAGATATAATTGGAATATGGTGAGTTCATGTTACTTTGAAGCCTATAATTATATGAATAATTTTGAATTCCATTAGACAGGACATATCACTGCTTCTCTTTGTATATGATATCAAGGACCAGATTTGTTGCATATTTATGTGTAATTTAGTCAGTTAATTTCTTATGATTGAAATAGCTCTTTTCATTTCTAGGTTTATCTTGACTTAGCATATGACAATCATTTGGAAATAAAAGAAACTGTAAAAGAGAAAAGAATAATAGTAATATGAATAAGTTTACAATTATCCTTTTTATGAACAAAATTACCATAAGAAATCTCTGATATTTTGGAAAAAATGCATATTGTCTCATTCTTTGCTTATTTAATTTTTCCCTCAAGGAACAAAACTTTTATTTTCTTTTTTAATCCTTTACTGGCTGTTAAATGAATAGAAATCTTCCATCCTTAATGAAATTTATCTTTGTTATCTTGGTATTGATTCTAATGAAGAATTAGAATTTTGGCTCACTCTAGCCACAGGTCGTGTTGAGTTTTTCTAAGCACTTTTATAAGATATAGGTCAAAAAGAAAACCTTCATAGAAGCACTATTGATTTGTTCATCTTGCTTTAATTGGTTACTTTTAAAGGGAGTAGTTTTTGCTTGGATCTGGGTTTCTAAATATCATTTCTCAGTAAGCAGAACCAGGAATCTTTGAGAAACGGCTGATCCAGGGCTGGGGAAGGGAAGATACAAAAGCCTGGAACTTTTTGTGGAGCCAGAATATAAGGAAGTGCTCAGAATATTTGATGGGAGCGTGTCTAAAGGACAGAGAAGCAGCTGCAAGAGGTTTCTGGTGGCCAAATTAGGACAATTTGAGCATTAGAATAGATGATGACAGTAATAGATTATAAACCATTGAATGAAATAAGAATCTAGGTGTTCATACTTAATGATAGGTAGATAGAGAGAGGGAGATAGAGAGAAGTGAAAGCTTGTCCCTATGGTGGAATGCCAACCACACATCCAGAAGGAATGATAGGATTAGCAAATTGCCACTTGGCAACCATTATAGCAAAAATTGACTGTGGCCAGAATCATCAATGAGGGCTACTTCTAGGGCAGGGACTATCTGATGAGTAGCAGGATATTTACATCATCTTAAACTATCTCCCCACAAACTACTGATTCTAAAAGGAAAAATAGTAACTGCACTGTGTAGACACCAGATTCCACCTCTGCCGAGCAGTTAATGTCACCATGGAGAGCAAAAGGACCTCCTGGGCCTCTGTGAAGCCTGGTCAATTCATAGCCTTGCAGCTGGGGTGTTGCCAAAGATACACGCTGAACCAGTGAGAAGCAAACGCCAGAGCACCCAAGCTGAGGGCCATTTGGCCCAATAACCGAAGAGTGTTACTGTCATGAAAGACAAAGGCAGATTGAGGAACTGTTCCAGATCAAGGGAGAGCAAAGAGATGTTACAGCTAAATGTAAAAGTGATCCTGGACTGGGTCCTGCCCTGGGAAAATGTTGTACAGGACATTATTGGTACAGTGACAGAGTTAGAGTTTTATTATTGGAATACAATGTTAAATTTTCTGAATACGAGATATGTGCTAGGTTCATGTTAGAGAGGGTTTTTTCTTCGAAAATACACACTGAAGTATTAAGGGGTGAAGGAGCATATTGTATGCAAGCTCTCCTCAACTGGTTTAGAAAAAATGTTCCTAGAGAAAGGAAGCGAGCAAATGTGACACAATAGTAAAAATTGGTGAACCCGGTAAAGGCAAATAGGAGTTCATTGTTCTATTCTTGTAACTTTTCTGTAAGTTTGAAATTATCTCAAAATAACAAGTTAAAAGAATAAAGTGGGAAAAAATGTTTTTAGGATGTGAAGGTGGTAAATATATTTTTAGGACCTACAGATAAATTTTTAAGCAGGTGGTTAATTTGTCGATGTAATTAAAATATGTCAATACTTTTAACAAATAATAAAAACTCTCTATTGATAGATTGGTAATAAAATGATATATTAATACAAAAGTGATATATATATTAGGTTGACTATCAAGAAATTCATTATCAGGGGCTGGGCATGGTGGCTCACGCCTGTAATCCCAGCACTTTGGGAGGCCACGGCAGGAGGATTGCTTGAGGCCAAGAGTTCGAGACCAGCCTGGGTAGTATAGCGAGACCCCCATCTCTACAAAAATAAAAAAATTCATTATCAGTATATTATGGGTACAGTTTTTAAAAATTATGAAATATTTTATCATATTTCAAGTTGATAGAATGTGTCTAATTATACCATATTTTGTTGATTCTAGATGATGTTGATTTTAAGATTCACCATTGCCATTAAGAAAGAAAAAAACATTGCCAATTATCATTCTAAGACGATGTCAATTGTGTGATGTATCTGACTTCAGGGATGTTAAAAATGTGGAAAAATATGTCTGAAATATATGAGACTGGGTATATTGAAATGTTTCAGTAGGTAAATAGTTTAAAGCTGTTCCTTATTTTAATGAGTGCAACATCGTGATTTTAGTCAGAAAACCGAAAATCTATGATGCACATCTGCTAAAAATGGCACATTTTATAATCAATACTGGAAGATGTTCTTATGGCAGTGGTTAATGTGCCTTCTGCATTTGAATGGCCTGTTTGATAATGTATTTGTGCCCCGAAGTGATCTTTTTAAAGTAGTAATTTTTATGCGGATACTTTCAGGGGCTCTTAAACACAGAAGGACTTTTTAGAGTCATTTCCTTTGACTCACTGCTCACTGAAATAATGGCTGTTGTTCCCCACAGATGCTGCAGTTGGAGAAGAAACTTGAACTTGAACTTGAGGACGATGCTCGAGTCATTGCTTGCCGGTTCCCTTTCCCACACTGGACCCCGGACCACGTCACCGGGGAGGGGATAGACACGGTGTGGGCATATGATGCGAGGACTTTTAGAGGAGGTGCAAAGAGGCCCTGAAGATCAACACACTTCTAGCTGGTCATTCAAATATAAACTTTACCAAGAATGCTTTTCTGAAACATTGCAATCTTCTCTGATTGTGTGGAAACTCACAGCAGCTGTGTCTTGAACAGCAGAGCATATTTGTCTTTGGTATAGGATGACAGATTACTGTTACTTCCCTTAACTTTAGGAGAAAACAAACAGAAGTTAAGAAAAACAGTTAGATTTGAATTTCGCTTTTAATGGTTTATTCTAAAAAACATGCTCACTGCCTTTTCATGCATTGGTTGCATGACAATATGAAGGTACAATGGTCATATTCATGGGTCCGAAAGATGTCTACAGCTCTACACATTATAAACAGTATGGTTTAATGCCACAGATGAGGAGGAGTGATTTTTTAAAGAGAGAAATGTATTCATATTGACAAATGCTTGCAGTTTCCTATAGGTTTATTCGTATGTAAGTTTTCTCTCTTTGTTGTACTTCATGGCAAAATTAAGTTTTTGAAGGATTCGGAGAGGCATTTATATTTTATAACATTTATTAGGAATAATTTGTTCCAAGGCTAGATTACTGTATTTTATTGAATCTAAGATGTTTATATATATATACATGTGTATACATGGGTGTAAATGTGTGTGTGTATATACATTTTAATATTTTCAAAAATTGCGACGTATCTTCCAATGGCAGGTGTTCAGTAGCTTTAATTGGCAGTGTTGTACATCATGTAGGTGTATACCAACTACAATTGATAGCATCTTAAGTTTAATGAAGTGTGATATTCAGAAAAGATACATGATAATAGTGGGGAGTTGGTAAGGATTAATAGCAAAATAAGTGATAAGTTTTGGTGTAGGCTGCCCTGGGTTCCAGTCCCTGTTTTGTCATCAGCAGGAAGCCGTGGATCTGTGACTTGGCGTCTGTGAGCCTGGGCTTCCTGATACCCCTGCCCCTGGGGTAGTGGTAACCGAGCAGAGCACTGGAGACCAGTTTGTTAAACCCAAAGCACATGGTCTTTGGTCTGTAAATGGTATTTGTTATCTCAGGCACTAAGGAAAAGATTATTCATGGAAGTTGCAGATTATTTCTGCTGGTCACTATGATTATTCATGGAAGTTGCAGATTATTTCTGCTGGTCACTATTTTACGAGAGCAGCCATTTATTTAATATTTCTCATTTATGAGAGGAGACTGGACTGATTCAAATAAATGACAAATTAAGGAAAACCTTTGAATGTGAATAGACATGTTTCATATATCTGAAAAAGAGTATTGAATGGTGGCTTGAATAATCCCTGCTTATCGCGGAGAGAGATGGAACTCCCAGTCACACACCTGTAACCTAAACACCCAACTATCTCGATGGGGATTTAATGAAGTAAGGTGGTCACATCTTTAAACTTATAAAAATACGATCAACTTGTTACTTTTTATTTAAATGAGAACCACCTGGGGACATGTTCATTCATCCATTCAACAAATATGTCTTGAGCACCTGCTGTGTAGTAAGCTCTGCGTGATTCCACGGTGAACAGACTCGCAAAGCCCCAGCCTCCTGGAACTCATATTCCGGAAGGGGGAGACAAGCAAGTAAGCCAGTCTCAGTGTGCGACAGAAATGGACAGTGTGACAGCACGAGGGCAGCTGTGTGTGTCTGGGGGCGGGGGTGGGTTGTTGCAGGCATCTCTAGGCATCTGGTGGCTGCCATGTCTTTCTGTCCCACCAGCTCCTAATCTTTTTAGATCTCCCGTGGTGTGTAGTTTTGGCGGGAGGGCAGTTCTTGGTGTGTGCTTCTCACCATCGCCTTCCACTGTAGCCAGTTCTGCCTGTGACCCGTCTGGGCACACTTGGAGAGTGACCTGTGGGAGCTTCTCACCATGCAGATGTGGTGGTAGGGGAGGGTTTTGTGGAACTTTGGAGGGATTAAGCAGCTTTGTAGATGTGTCCCTGGTGGATTTGTAGAGGCATCAAGCTATGTGCAGAGTTGTTAGTAACTTATCATTTTTGGAGTATCTCCTTTAGCTTCTCAAGAATTCAGTGATGCTTGGTCCTGCAACCTCACAGTAAGGTGGACCATTTCATATAAGCGTTGTGATTCATTGAGTCTGCAAGATCTGTAATCGCTTTTTTAATATTGTGGCTTGTTAATTAAACTGTACAATAAGGGTTTTCCTGTAAAAGTTATTGTGGCCTCTCTGGCTGATGTGAATTTTTATCTGTTATTAGGTTAAGGACATTGATCCAATTTGCACATGACACAAGTCTGGGAATGAGAGCTACTGTTGTTAGCTGTCAAACAGAAGATTTATAAATATCTATGCAGATGGAAATCAGGGGCCAGTGCTAACTTAATAAAATTTAAAAAGAGCTATAGAAAGATAGTTTAGAGTGATGTAGCCTAACAGGACCCGGGGTGAATAGAAATGGGGGTTTCTGTCAACACTCAGGCCAATGGCTTGAGCGAGCTGCCCTCTGACTGCATCTTCTTCCAAAAGCAGGATCCCAGGAACACAACCCCATCTCTCCCAAGTGGCCCAGGTGGCCCTGTCAGACCTTCAGTTGCTTCTGGTGTTCACACTCCCTCAAATACTTAGCTCCACCAAGTGTACCTGAAACAAAGTTTAAAAGATTTCAGAAGAGGCTCTCCTTCAGAGGCCGTGGCTGGGAAACAGCGTGCACTACCACAAGCCGTAGCCACACAGAAGAGAAGAAATGCACAGTTCTTGACATTTAAGCTGTGCAGCTGGGTGCCATCCCTCTGCCAAAGTACTTTCCCTGATGGCCAAAGGTAGGGAAGCCCTGACGATGAAGAAATAAATGCTCTAAAGTCCAGCAGTCTTCTAAGCGTGTGCTGTTATATGCGTTTCTTAGCTTATCCCCGGCTGAGCACTTTCCAAGAGAGACCTCTTTGTCATTACAGGAGTCTACTTAAGTCTCATCAGACAGACCCACAAGAAGTGTACCCACTGGTTGTGCGGTGTGTGTGGCCGCCTTTGTGGCCCTGTGTGCCATAGTGTGACTGGCCTTCACTGAGACACCTGAAGTTGTCTGGGCCACAGCGGAGCATTCCTCACCCAGCTGGGCAGCAGAGCCCACCGGCCTCTGCCCCAGGCTTCTTGTCTTGGAGCAGGGAGGCTAGCGGGTCGGGAAGGAGGTATGCAGAGCCTGTCCTGGAGCAGGGACGCTAGTGGGCCAGGAAGGAGGTGTGCAGAGCCTGTCCTGGAGCAGGGACGCTAGTGGGCCAGGAAGGAGGTGTGCAGAGCCTGTCCTGGAGCAGGGACGCTAGTGGGCCAGGAAGGAGGTGTGCAGAGCCTGTCCTGGAGCAGGGACGCTAGTGGGCCAGGAAGGAGGTGTGCAGAGCCTGTCCTGGAGCAGGGACGCTAGTGGGCCAGGAAGGAGGTGTGCAGAGCCTGTCCTGGAGCAGGGACGCTAGTGGGCCAGGAAGGAGGTGTGCAGCCACTGCTTGCCTCCTACCTCGGAGCCATTCTCCCCTCTGTCTTGCTAACAGATCCCCTAGTTTTTCTGGTGCCAGGATCAATGTGGTCATCACAGGGCCCCTGCCACTTGTCTGGTTCCATTTCCCTTTGCTGTGGGTGCCAGGGTGGGCGGTGGGCATGTGACCCTGTTCCTGGCAGTGAGATTTGAGGGCATGTCTACTGGCAGTGTGGGAAAGGTTTTTGTTGCCGCTAGAAGGAGATAGGTGAGGAGTGAGTATCCTTCCTGTCTTTGGACGTGCCCTTTTAGGTGGTAATACCCGGAGCTTAGCAGCCACTCTGTGACCACAAGGGGAAAAGTGAAGATGGAAGCCAAGATGCTGAGGATGATGGAGCAGACAGACAGAACGACCCAGATCTGTGGATGCTGCTGAGCTGCTGAACCAACCCCGAGCCTCCTGCTTCCTGACGTCTTATGAAGTGAAGTGATAAACCCATTTGTTTTAAGCTGCTTTTACGTGGTGTTGTGTTGTTTGCTGCTTTTACATGGGTGTTGTGTTGTTGTTTTGATAGAGGTAAGAGGGTTGTAAGGCTGACCTGGGGCAGGGAGCCACAGTGGAGTGGCAGGCACCATGGGGCCACTATCCCCTTCTGGCGAGGACTAGCGGAGGAGGCACTTTCTGGCAAGGCTGGAAGGTGCATCTGAAGCGTGAAAGGGGTGGAGAGTTCCCAGGCAGAGAGCCCCACTCACAGACTAGCTCCCAGGGGTGGTGTTTGGGGGACTCTACCAAGTCACGAGGGCTGAGAAGTTGGGCCGGACTTCACAGGGGATGGAATGGCCCCCGAGGGACCCGAGTCTCCCAAGGAGGGCATCGTGCTTTTGGGGACATGGGCAAGGGTGAGTCACAGCATAACCTCAGCTGTATCCCCGTATCACAGGGAGTTTTATAGGGAAAGGGACTAGTTCTCAGGAGTAGGAAGGAATTAGGGAAGCCAAGGGAAGTAAGCATCCTGAGACGCCCTCTTGGCAGGCAGGGCTGGTTGCCAAGCATAGGAGCTGGTAGCCGTGCCGAGCGGCCCCTAGCCTAGAGCCCCAGCACCGCCTAGTCTCCTGCCGGCTCCAGCCAGTGCCTCCTTCGCCCTGGTGAGGACGGGCGTGGAGGGAGCCATGCTCCCAGGGGGTCCTCTGGTGGGCCAGCAGCAAAGGGATGCCAGCTGCCCCCTAACGTGATGGTTGGGCTGGCTGGCTGAACAGGCTCCAGAAGTTCGCCGGACTCCCTCTGCATGGCTGTTGGGGTGCAGTTGGCACCGTCCTTCCATGCGGGGTTCTCCCAGGGAGGGGTCTCCTCGGCACCTCCCCTTCCTGGCTCACATAGAGGGTGCCTTTGGCATGGTTGTCCCCAAACAATGGTTTCGAATGGGCGATACGAAAATCTAGAAATAGAAAAAGGAATAGAGGAAGCCACATTGATAAACGGAAGTGAATTCTCGATGTCTTGAAAATGTGTCCTAAGAGCATAACTAAGGGGGCTGTGAATGTTTACTCTGGGTTTAGAGGCAGCATGACAGGTATTTTCAAATATTTGCGGGATTGCCATGTGGAAGAAGAAAGGATGGGAATGGACATTATTCTGTGCCTGGGATTTCATGTCCTGCACACCCTTCTCATCCCCAGGGAGGTGTTCTTATCTTCAATTTTTTTTAAAATTTTAATCCGAGAGGAGTTCGCTTGCCCAGAGCCGCAGCCTGTTGCAGGAGCACTGGCGCTCTGTTGTGCTCAGTTGCTGCCTTGCAATTAGGCCTGCTCCGATTGGCTTTGGGGAGCAAGCTAAGGTCATTATGTGGATGTTAAAGGGACCTGAAGTTTAAGTTCAGTGTGAAGCACAGTCTTAATAAAGTCATTTAAAGTTAGAATGCATTGCCTTTGGGCAGAGCTCCTTCTCCAGGAGATGCCGGATCAGGGCCTGGACAGCCACTTGGTGGGGGTGTTGTAGAAGGGACCAGCCGTGAGCAGGCATGGAGTCCTAAGATGACCCAAAATGATGATGAGTTTCCCGGTCTCAGCCTGAATCCTTTCAGCAGAGCTCATGGGTCTGTGCAGCGTTAAGACAGCCTTTGGCAGCAAAGGTTTCACACAACCCCAGCATCCCTCTAAACATGAGGCTATGGCAGTTTTTCCCTCTGGTATTGCAAAACAACGTGGTCAAAATATTGGGGAAGGTGATGAATGGAGATAAACTGTGTCAGAACCCCAGCTGTGAGATGTGAATGCTCAGAGGAGGAAGTCTGCGTCTATGAAATCCCAGAGGGTTTGGCTGGTGCTGATACAGTTGTGCTTACCCAGCACGGATTTGAACTCGGGGGTGCGGGGTGGGGGGAGAGCTGTTCTTGAAGCCCCTGGTAGGAATAGGTCGCTGATGGTGCCTCATCCTCTTTGAAACGATGCTGCCCCACCTGACCTAGTCCTTATGAGGACCAAAAGTCTCCCCACCTCCACCCTTGCCCAGCTGTTGGGACCAGGGTTGGGCTCTGAGCCGAAAGCAGGGTGGCCAGCAAGGTCGCCGGCAGAAAGAGATGAGATGAGCTACTCAGAGTCCACGTTGAGAATTGGGGACACAGAAGTAGAAGTTAAAGGTCACGAGGTTGAGGCCAGAGGAACTGCAACGGCCATGAGGGAGACAAGAGGGTAACGGGCTCCGCTCTGAGCTCAGGGAGGCCACTGTCCCGAGGGGCAAGCCCTGCCAGGGACTCGCCTGCCCAGGGCCTCGGAACCTGAGTGCAGCAGGAGCAGAGCGAGCAGAGCTGTGGCTGAACCTTTGAGTATCATGGCCTGTCTCCTTGTCTGATCAGGTTCCATCATGTTCCTTGAAGAACTCCATTTATGAAATAGGTAATTTTATGATGAATGGAATACCACTTGCCATAGCAGGTATTAAACTCAAGGAACTTACTGTCCCCAAAGATGGTGCATGCCATATATTTAAATGGAAAAATGTGTATTTACGTGAATGTAAGGATATCTGCACCTAAATAACATAATAAAGTTTCTGTGCTCAAACAGAAAACTTTAGTTATCTGGGAGTCCTTGTAGGCAGAACACTTTATTCCTTTGGAACGAGGTGCTTCTGTAATAATGACACATTATTATTATATTGCAGTTGGCGCACTTGTGACTCAATGGACTGGTGCAAATTGAACATGAGCAAAAAGATCATATAACTTTTATAGGTGAGGGAAATTAGATGTCTTATTTTTCTAATTTAATATTATGGTGTGAACATTATCCAGGAAGGATTGATAAAACAATACCTCATTGATCACTAGGTTTAATTCAAGGCTAGAAAGGAGGAATCAAGCTAGTTTTCTTCTCTGTGATATCATAGGATGAAAAATGGGGCAGCAACATTATTTTTTTATAAGAACTAATCCAAACGCCAAAATAATTTCACAAAACTCCACGTATATCCCAAACTTGGTGGATACATTCAAGTAGCAAGTTCTGGTGGGGTTTGCTGTAAACAGAGCTTCACGGTGTTTCTCAGGCGGGTGGTGAGATTTGAAGGAGAGACAGTGTAATGCGACACATTAGGCTGAATCCCGGTAAAGCCCAGCTAGCAGTCAGCAGAATTCTAAGACAGATAAAGCTTCCACCTTGATCTTCCCTTTTTGGTCCCTATACCTTATCCCGGGGAACTTACCATTTATCATTTTATCATGTGGCCTTTTTTCACATGCCCAGTTATCTTGGATTTAAGTGTTAGATTACATGTTGCTATTTTTCAAGAGCATTTGCATTTTGTTAAGGACCTCCTTAAATTTGATGTTAGTGGGTCTGAAAAAGATGAATATGTAATGGAGACATGTCAGACTCCTTGCTGCCCGCTGGCCCTGTCCCAGCCCAACCCACCCTACTGGCATATCTGTGAGAGCTCAGAAAGGCAAACTGTCACCCTAAGGTTTTCTCAACCCGCAAATGTCAATTTTATGAGTGGAAATTGGCAGTCCAGAAACTTGGATGGTAAGGACAGCTCTTGTGTCCTGTCTACCATGTTGCAGGTCTTTTATATACATTGTTTTATATTCTCATATTAACTTTGCAGTGTAGATATGCTATTTCTCAGTTGGGTAAACTGAAGCAGTTAGAGAGTGATCCATTTGCCAAGGCTCATGCACTAATTAGTACATAGCGGAGCTGGTATTTGAACGCAGGCCTGCCTGATCCTACATCCTGTGTGCTTTCCTCGATTCTGTGACCTGGCTGAGGTGTGGAGAAGGCTCTCTTGCTGTGTGTAACCAATCCATTCCTCTGCTCAGCTCAGATAGTAGCAACACTTGAACGACTCTGAACCTTGGGTTCTGTGCCTCTTAGAATCAGAATAACTCTTTTTGGGGAGACACATGGTGGTCCTTGAGTTAGAAGCATATGCCCAAGATAAGGAAAAAGCAGCAGATTTTCCAGA